CTTCACTGGCCCAAGTTGGCACCATCATTGCGCTCTTCCCGGGCGAGGCACATCAGTCGCCAGCTTCTGGACGGCCGCTCACAGCGGCTTCTGGCCACTCATGCTGGCTGCTGACTACATATGGTAGCCCATGGCGACCCACTGCCACAGGAGCTGCAGCCTACGCTGTCGCCGGCGACTCCCAGCAGCCCAGCTCCAGGTTGAGCTGTTGTTCAGCATCTTAGCTGTGGAGGGCAGTGTCTCTGGCCCTCATATGTGGGATCCGAACCGGGGCCCTCTGGTATCCCAAGCCAGTTCTTAACCATAGCGCCACTCGGCCGGCCCGAGAGCACACTTTTTAAATTGTACTTCACTGCCCCTTTACTGAGCCAGGTGTTCTGGGTAGAGTTGCCAGATTTAGCAAAACAACAAAAGCAAGAATCCGGGATGGCAAGTTAAATTTGAATTTCAGATAAACAATGACTTTTTTTAAAGTCTTATAAGTGTGTCCCAAGTATTGCATGGGATATACTTGTATTAAAAATGATTCTTGGGGATCAAATACATGGTGATAGAAGGAGAATTGACTCTGGATGATGAACACACAATGTAATATATAGATGATGTTTTACAGTATTATACACCTGAAACGTATATAACTTTACTAACAATTGTCATCCCAATAAACTTCAATTAAAAAAAAAAAGATTTCTGGGGGCTGGCCGAGTGGCTCAGTTGGTTAAGAGTTGGCTTAAGAGCATGATCTCTGAGCAACAGGGCCGCCGGTTCAATTCCCACATGGGCCAGTGATGCTGCGCCCGAGTTGAGCTGTCGCTGAGCTGCCAACAGGTGGCAGGATGGCTCAGTTGGTGTAACAACAAGATTGCCTGTTTGATGGTGGGCTACGCCCACTCGCAACTTAGACTGAACTCTGGCATCTTCAGCTGAGCTGCTGCTGGGATGGCTCAGTGGATAGAATGTGCATTCTTAACAACAAGGCTGCTGGTTGACTCCCGCATGGGATGGTGGCTACGCCCCCCCCCTCTGCAACTAAGATTGAACACAGTACCTTGAGTTTAGAGGCCACGAGCTGCCGACGGGAAGCCAGATGGCGACTGGCGCCCTCCACAACGAAGATTGAAGAACAACAACTTGGCTGGTCCCCTTCCCCAATTCCCCAACACTGTTCCCCTCCTCAAATCCCCCAGTAAAACCTTTAAAAAAAAAAAAGATCTCCTCTCATTAACTGTAAAAAAAGATTCTTTGTTTATCTGAAATTCAAGTTTAACTGAATGTCCTGCCATTTATCTGGCAATGCTACACCTTCTCTTTCCTGCTGCCCCAAGCCCCCCACCCCCCACCCCGTTCTGCCAACAGCTTGCCTTTAAAGGTAGGTCCTCAGGGCCAGTGGTGCCTGTGTGTCCACAGATGGCTGAAGTGAGGCCACGGGAGAGGAAGATGAGCTCTTTGCTCCAGAGGAGGGAGCCCTGTACTGGTGTCCACTCTGCCATTTACTGTGTGACTTTGGGTAAGTTTATTCCCCTCTCTGAACCCTCTACAAGGAAGACCCAGTATTAGGTACTAGGTAATTGTAAGAATCTTTGTCAGCCCTAACTTTCCTAATGTCTTCTCCCTTTTTTCTGTCTGTGCAAAGGACGGTACAAAATCTACCTTGTGCTGCTCTGAGACCACAGGGCATCCAACACCCAGGATAGAGAACCCCAGGGGAGCAGTGTTGGTCAGAAGAGACCCATGGTGTGTGCTTGGAAGGCTAGGGACTGAGACTGCTGGGAAATGAGCTGTTACTGTCTTTGTCCCCCAATTTGCTGTAGCATTCAGATCTAGGTTCCAGGCCCCTCCTGCACTAATAGCTCTGTGATCTTGGGCATAATCCTTAACCCAGGCAAGGGCCTCAGTTTCCTCAACTGTAAAGTGAGACTAATGCTGTCCCATGATGTATGTAAGGTATGTAGGAGGGGCTTACTAAAGATTATTTTTTATTTTTGTTATTGTTGGTGTTAATTTAGTACTCTATCCTTCTGGCAAAAAGCACCTTGAGGAATTCTAACCCCTGAAAGGGTGAACAGATTTCAGGCCCTTTCTGAGCTTCAGCAAAGAACACAACACCTTCCAGCTGAATGTTATTTGTCGGATTTTTGACAGACGTCTAAATTATACACTGAGTTTTCCACATGACCAAATACCACGTCCCTTCCTTTGATTATCATTTTCAAAAGGGACCATAAAAAAAGAACCTTCCGATGGATCAGACTGAACCCTGAAACCACATGGAGTGCAAGGGCTAAAAATAAAAGGAAGCAAGAACTGGCCCCTGAGAAGGAAAGAGAAATCAAAGCAAACTCTGACGGGAATCAAGGGACGAGTCCTGGTGAGGGTGACATGGTGTCACCCTCCAGGTCAGGCCGGATTAGGAGCAACCGACAGTGCGGGTGGGGCGCAGAGTGGCACAAAAATAGCCACTGCTTTAGCCCAGAGGGGAATAAAGAAATTTGTCAAAAGCCAGGAGAGAGAGAAGTGGAGATGGAGGGAGGGAGGGGGCAGGACGGTGTCCTTAACAGCAGTTTCAGGAGCCGCGGACTTCTTTCACCACCGGCACATTTCCACCCGCCGGCATAATCGCTGACTTTCAGCTGTGCGCCGACATGTTCCTCAGCTCAGCCCACATCAATGACACCCTTGTTTCCATAGTAACCAATGGAGAGTGAAGGGGAAAGGGTGTGCTGCACTGGGCGCGGGGATCCAGCCAGGAGGAGTCGCACAGTGAAGGAGGGAAGGAGTTTTTCCCACCACTGGCTTGAGCATACATCCTGGGGCCCCCCGGCCCCCCAGCCCTCTCCCCGGCACACTCAGATGCAGTCGTGCATAGAGCAAGTCTTACCAAGGCTCCCTGGGGGTGGGAGGATGGAAAACCCCGTATCCCCTTTCTTCAAATTCTGTCTCTGGTCATGGCCACAGGGTGCGGGGGGGGGGGGGGGGGTTGGGGAGAGGAAAGGAGACTTTAGAAACATTTTGTTTTTACAAATGGGCGCTTTCAAAGTCTGCATTTTTCCGGTTTCTCTCGTCTACCCTATGAGCCCCCCGGGAGGGTTCAGTAGGGCTCAAAGGGAAGATGAAAGCTTGTGACATCCACCATGTCACTGTGTCTTGAGCTGAAAAGCAAATCTGAACATTCACAGAGGCTGTTATCAGAGAAGGGCAAGTGGCTTCTGCCTGCTGGCTCAGGCCGTGGGAGGGTTCCTTCAAACAGTTCCTGAAGTTGGTGGTAAAAGAACAAAAATACTTTACAGTCCATCCACGGCCAGAGTTCAAGTTCCATATCTCATTGTTCCAAAATTACAGACCTCAAAGCAGGCATTGTGCCCCTCAGCTCGCATCCCTGGTGCACTATTTTGGGGAAAAAACTCATCTTCAAGTGCTAGAGCCACATCTCCAGCCTGACAGAAGGGGACTTCGGTTCCTTATAATTCTGTTTGCCTCTGTTCAAAGTGAGAGAGGTGTTTGTGTGAGGCAGAGAAGCCAGAGAAGGCGGTGGGCAGGGAGCAGCAGCTAGCTCAGTGGTTTAAAGAAACTTCACCTTCTTTTGTTTTGCAAGTCCTTATAGGTCCATCCATAGCAGCCCCCAGGGCACCTTTTCATGTCTGGCATTGTTAATGACTTTCACCCCAGACCACCTTTGAAGCTGGCCATGCTTCAGCCCTCACCTGCACAACTTTGTCCAGAAAAGCTGGGCACTGGGAGCCAGGGGCTGGAGCGGCTCCTCTGGTCTGCCCACATGCCTTGGTGGGTTAGGAAGGGTCACCTCTCAGAATGAGAAGGCAGCTGGCCTCCTGGGATGCACCAGCCACTGGACAGTCTCTTATTCATTCTCTGAAAACCCCTGAACTCAGGCTCCAGATCAGAGTTCAAGTCAGGAGCCGGGTGATGATGCCCTGGGCGGCTTTCCCATGTTGGAAGCTGGGGATTTCTGAAGGCTCAGGGAAACAAGCTCTTTTTGAAACACGAAGCAGGTGAAGTCTCCTGCCAGTCCTCTCCAATCAATCAACACATTTTGCTGGAGAGAGGCAGGGGAGATCGGCAGTGGGGTGACTCTGGCTTCCCTGGTCATAGCCCCTGCAATCATACACGTTCTTCCCAGCAGCAAACCCTCTCCACCCATGAGCATCCCACACCACCAAGTTGCCAGCACTGTAAAAATTGATCTCCTCTAAAAATCGATCTGCCTGCCTTTTCTCAGTGGAGCAGGTTCATGGTAAAGCGGCATTTATTTTTAAAGTCTGATAGCAGCGGCCCATTGTGATCATTTAAACACAGAATTCTTTGAGCTTTAGAAATCCCTTCTATAGGACGGCTGTGGAGAAGCCAGCTAATCTCCGAGTCGCCTGCTCCCTGCTCCACTGAACTGGAGAAAGCCTGTTTACGCGAGCCTGAGCCCTCAATGTGAGGGCTTTCTAAGGACCTTGTAATTTTTCTGGAATTAAACCTCCCACCTCTCCTTACATTCCAGATGTCATTACAGTCAAAAGTCATAAGAATTTGTTTCCCTGTGTGGCTGGCTGGGGGGTTGGGGATGGGGTATGTTTCTGTAGTGACTTGTTTGCAAGAAAGGATTTTTTTTTTTCCTTTTCCAAAGGGTGAGGATTACACACACACAGTCTCCTACCTGCATGACAAGATGGTTTAATCATCTGCCCTACCTCCCCTTCCCCCCAGCAGCTTCCCTCAGGATAGCATGCAGCCCTGGCTCAGTTGGTGATGGTAAAAACCACTGACCAGCACCAGCAGACACTACCTATGCTTTCAAAACCATGGGGAGAATGGAAGGGACGGGTCAGTAAATAAATGAGCGCAGCATAAGCTGCTTCTTCCTCTTTTCTTTTTCTTTTTGAAAGAAAGAAAAAAAAAAGCCCACTGGAATTGTCTGAACTGCAATGCAATCTCTTGCTCATTTAAAAGATCTCATTTTCTAATCATGTGCTTTGAGACATTTAATACTATTTCAATTATGCAGAGGAAATAATATAATTCCTTTATTTGAAAAATGATACTGAACCTCAGAGATCAGTTAAATCTACTGCTGGAATGGGGATTCTTTTTAAACTGTGTTGTTCCCTCTCTTCAAACAGCTGTAGCTGTACACAGATGGAAAAACATTTGGTCAGAAAGCAGCAAATTAGTGTTTTTCAGGACAGAATTCAGCTCCTGCAGCTCCTGCGTCTCCATTCGTCTAGATTTTATTTCTTCTTTGCAATGACATTTTTGCAGACCCAGTTCATGCCGTCCTTGGAGGGAAATGGGCAGAGAAAGGCAGTGTTAGTTGTATGAAAGGCACCACACACTCAAGCCCAGCAGAGGGGCGGGGGTGGAGATTCTGGGTCCTCCCTCCCCAACCACCAGGCTCCAGGGAGTTTCCTTGCCCCAGGGGACCACCTGGGTGACCAGGGACAGTGACCTCCTGGGGAGGAGGAGGGAGGCCTCTGAGAGCATAAGAGGGACATGGGAGGGGGAGTGCCCAGTGTCAGAACTTGAGATGGGTCCTCAGGAACTCCCTCTGAAAAAATAAACACATCTGCCTGGATCCAAGGCCTGATTGAGGAGCTATCAGGAAAGATTCCAGCCATTTTTGGCTTTTTCTAAAAGCTGACCTTTGCTAGGGCATTAAATTCAATAAGCCACCCTTCTGGTGCCCCTGGTGTGTTTACAGTGTGGCAGTGTACACTTGGGTTAAATTAAATTTCTTTTTGGAAAAACAAACCAACTGCAGTGTGTGTTACTAGACACACACTGGGGCAATGTGCATTTATTTCTCTTCGTGCAGCACTACAGATAGGTTTAAAAGGGCCTGGCCTGATTCTTTAAGCACTACCAAAGAGGGACTGGGGAGAAGGTTCCCTTAAAGGCACAGTGACCTTCAAAGTGTCCTCTCTTAGAAGGCTGGAGAGGGACAGATGTAAAAACCACACAATGCCTAGTCACCTGGCAGGTGGCATGATTTCTCCTGGATGCCAGGCCTGCCAGAGATGACCTCCTTTTCAACCCCCTTTGCAACCACCCCTGAATGCTCTTTCCCCAGAGTCTCTCCGACCTTTGGGGGTGTGCGGAGTTCCCTCAGGAGCTGAGAGCAAAATCAAAGGAGGCTCCTGCAACAAATCCCTTTCCCCTGCACCCTGCATCTGTAACACATGCTCACTGAAGTCCCAGTCACATTTGCACATCTCAGGTCATACATGACATGCAGAGCCCCCGCATTTCCTGTGACCACAGAGCTAGTTGTTGAACCTGAACAGCTGAGCCAGCTTAAAGTAATAAATATCAGCTGACACCCTTGGCCATTCGGAGCATTAATCCCATAAACAATACATCACAGCAAAACAACCAGCAGGCACCCTATCTCCTGGCTAATCTGACCATAACCTGAATTTACAGTGATTAAAACTCTGCCAGTTGCCATCAGAGCACTTGGGCAGGAGAACCAGATAATCTGATGGCTGTCCCACAGCAGACCTTAGGGCATTTGCCAAGATGAGGCTGGCCATGGCCGAAGGCCCAAAGGTGGACAGCACCTGGCAGCCGTGGGGACAAGGGGGTAGGAATGCCGAGGTGGGAGAAAAGTGGCTTCCAAATGCATCTCCAATTACAACTGGGTCAGCTACTTACTTGAAAAGCTGAGGCCACTTTTAAGACCATTTTATGAAAAGGATTAATTTAAAAAGAAGCATGTTTAATTTTAGTAGCTAATTGGTTTCCAGGAAAAAAAATGATCACCTGCCAGGAGACAAAAAAAGATTTTACAAATAAAAGAGGGATGAATAAGATAACCATCTTCTCTTTGCCTTCGAAGCTGAATAGCTCAGCACTTACGTAGCACTTTCCATCTTCAGGAACCCGCACAAATACTATCAAAGGTGCACACCTCAATATTTTCTCCTCTATAGAGACTTGCAATATTTTATCAAATCATCTTCTCAGAGAAATCAAGAACAGTGTTCCCACACTACACGAATACTTATTTTTCCCCTTGTTTTAGGGCTGATTATGGGGCTGGGGGGTTCCTTTATTATACGTAACTGAACATGAATGCGGTCAAAGAGATAGGGAAAATATTTACTCAGCTGCAGGAACCCGAAGTAGAATGTGGAGGGTGAGGGGCAGCTCTCTCCTGAGTATCTGTTATGGAGGCAGAGGGGATTTCAACAGGGAGGCCTGCTGAGGGGCAGTGTCCTCCAGATGTCTGTGAGGGCCAGCAGTGACAAAGCCCTTCCAGCCACAGTCCTGCCAACAGAGGGCGCTTGGAGGTCAGCACCCACCAGCTGACCTGCTGGTCCATGGGCCTCTGTAGCTACCTCCAGCAACCTGAAGGAGTGTGGGAAGCGCCGGGAGAATTAACAGGGGTCGAGCCCTATGCCTGCTTTGGCTCGAGGAGGCCGCCCTGATCTGAAGTGTTTGGGAGCTGGGGAGTTGCATCTTTCCTGTTATTACCTAGAGGAGAACTTGAGCTAGAGGTGGGGGGGCTGTCGGGGCGGCTGTAGTCAATGAGGATAATACCTCTTCAGTCAAATCAGGGACAAGCTGTGCCAAGTTGCCCGCTGGAAAGGAAAGATGCTGGTGTTGTCCAAGACCCCTGAGGGGAGAGTCCATGTCAGACTGGCTTGGGTTTGTGTTCATAGAACCTAGCATGATGTCTGGCCTAGCAGGCTCTTAATTTATATATTTTAAATTAATCCTTGTAACAACCCTGTAGAGTAGGTACTATATAATTTCCACATTACGGATGAGGAAATGGGGGCACAGGAGTGTGTGGCAGAGGCAGGCTATGAACCCAGGCAATGTAGCGCCAGCACCCATGCTCTTTAACCATTCGCCATTTCTCAGTGAATGTGAGCATATGTGGGAGGGAGAGGCTCTGCCTCAAGCTGAGAGAGAGGCTGGGAATCACCTTGAAGGTGGGAAAGAATGCACTTCCAGTTGTTTCTTCCTTATGACTCCCAGCTGACTATTGAGGCATGAGGCCAGGGTAGCCCCAGGCCAAGCACCTGGCACAGCTTGGCTGCACCTCTGAAGGTACTAGAGGCTGTTTTTGGCCACTCAACTCTCAAGATTCCTGGACTGCCAGGTATCTCTGCATGTGGAAACTGTGTATTTACCTCACTGCCCGATCCTAACATCTTAACTCTCCGCTAAGACCACCACCTCTAGTGGAAACTCTACATTTAGAGACAACATCATAGCAAGAGGCAGACCCTTCTGCTTCTCATGTTTAAATTAGTGCACCTCATCACTCTTGCCTTAATTTGGCAAGGCGTTGTGTTTTTAAAAGATGATTGAGAAAAGGTGATCGGTTACCTGAAGCAGGTTACTGCTCTGCCTCCAAAGAAGGAAATGAGCTCATAGGTTTGTTTAATGGTTGAACCTTTATTGTTAAAGAACTGGTTTGACCAAATTTTGCACATTTGATCTTCATCACGGGGATGACAATCTTATGGCGTGAGTAGGCCTCCCCTTTCTTCCTCCACCACACCTCCCCCTGACCAACCTTGCTGAAACTGAATTTAAATTGATTAGTTTTAATTCAATAATAGAGACTTAAGAGAGATACTGAACCTCAAATACTGAGCTTTGTTTGGCCTCAAGGAGGCCAAATTTTACCATGTCATGATATTAATTGACCAGTTCATGATATTATTCCCTGCTATAACCACTGGGAAAAATATAAGGCTGCTCCTACTCATAGATCTCAGTGGTCCGGGATTAAAAAGCACGATACCCCTTTCTGTGGGAAGAGTGGTTTCTGACTGCACTGCTTCTTTTAATTTGATCACTCGATAATGCATCCATCACTGCTCGATTGTTGGAAGGAAGCAGTGGCAGCCATGGCTGGGCAGGCCTGGTTTTTAACGCCATGAGGACTGCACATCACATCAGTAATTGCTTTAAGACCGAGGAGGAGTTCAGGCCCTTGCTGAGCAACGCAGCTTATCCCATTGTGCCACGGGGCCCCGAGGGTCAAGGAGCAGCTGGATGTAGCATACACAAAATACTGCTTGCTATTAATATTTTTTTCTGGTGACAAAGGGCACTGCACCGGAGAGGTAGCAAAATCGCATGTCCCGAGCTTGCATTCTTAGTCTATAGAGAGGTTTGAAATTTTAAAAATAAACCTGAGGTCTGACTTGCAGACAAGCAGTTCTGTGTACACTTGGTGTCAAAAATAACTGATGCCAGGCCTAGAAAGAAATGGTAAATGTCATTTTTAAAAATATCAAAATTCTGTTGGTATATTAAGGGAAAAGTCCCCTAGACCAAGAGAAAAGGAATAAGAACAAGACACTGGGCTAGCAAATGGTTAGTGTTCATCTGCAGGGCACTCTGAAGTGCAGCTCATGTACCAGGGCTCCGACTGCTAGTGGTCCTTCCTACGGAGGTGAGACTCCTGTGAGCCAGACCATCGCTCCTGTTTAGAGAAGGAAGATAGGGAATGTGGGAGAGATGGGAAAAGAAAAGGTGAGCATGAGACAGGGGCATGGAGAGCAATACCCAGAACTTTCTGCTAGTTCAAATCTATTGGTGTAGGCAGGTCTCAGTTAGGACTGAGGCTAGAGGCCAGGTTGAAACTGCTGAGATCTGCACTGAGAGGAAATTCTATTCCAGTACAATTTTGATTACACACACACACACACACACACACACACACACACACACACACACGCGAGTTTTAGAGATAAAATATCTTCAAACACCTGACACTACAACAGCAAAGGACAGCTGTGGTGGTCTGGGGTTCAAATTCAGGTCTGTAGGTGGAAGAGGGGTTGATTTCTCTCTACCTTTCTCCAGCTCTAAGCCAGAGCCTTTGTTCGTTATTTTCTAGACACCCAAGGGAAAGAGAAGAGAGTCCCAGGGCTGGATGTTATACACTAGGAGAGGCCCTTAGCAACCCTGGCCCAGCCACCAGGGCGCAGGGAGAGGCAGCCTCCATGTCTGTAAGGCAGCCTGGCTAAGGGGCTGCAGGGTTTCCCTCCCAGACATTTTTCAGATTCTCCTCTTTCTGCCCTCATCCACTTGACATAACTGGGTCTCTGTTGATCACTCCTTTGGACTCTGGACCTCTCGGCAGGACAAGGTTTCTGAGATTGATGCTCTCCTTCAGCTTCCAGTGCCCTTTACCTATGCTCTGCTCTTTACAGTTTCCCATGAAAACTTGCTTTAATTACATGACGGGCTGGCCTCCTCATCACCGTCAATCAGGCAAAGAAAGACCTGTTCCAAGCTCTCTTGAAGCCCTCGAAAGTCGGTTTCCACACCCAGGACAGGGGCTTGTTGAACAACATGTGGGATTGCCTGTCCTTGCAGAGACTGCACATACTTGCCTTCAGAACATCAGGTAGAACAGGAACCTGAGATCCAACCCAGGAATCACTGACTTCCATAAACTTAAATCATGTGTTTAAGCTATTCAGCTAAGGAGGAGTGATGACATCTGCCCGGTTAGTCCAGAAGGTGCAGCTCACCATTTAGCAAACCCGTGGCTGTTCCCTAGGCTCACCCACTTGAGGTTTACTTATCAGTATAAGATGGGTCTCTCAAACACTCCGATTAAACACAAACACAATATAAATAGAGACACTGTCTTTAAATAGCTGAAACTGTATCACAGAAATTTCAGGGTTTTTTGTTTTGTTTTGTTTTTTTAATCTTTATACATTTTTTTTTTCTCTCAGGGTTATTAGAGCTGTGGTGCCAGATATTATGAGACCCGTTTAATGTCTGATCATTTTGGTAGCTTTGCCCATGACTGACCAGCTTTCAGGGGGCAGTGGGTGGGAGGGTGGAGAGGGAGGATGAAATAAGAATTTAGGGAATTTTAGTAATTATTACACAGTGTCCATGTCTGAAAGTGATCTTAAGGACAGTTTTCTAGTGAAGTCTTTCATTTTTAGGAATACTTATAAACTTTAATTAATAAGAATTATTAAAGGCCTGCCCTTGAACTAAGCAATGCAGCAAAAGAATTCCATCTAAGCGACTCTTTTTCAAGTGAAAACCAAGACATTTGGCTGAGTGGGCAAGTGCTTAGGTCAGAAGCATTACCTGATGAAGGGACACGGTCCATGAGTGCCTCACAATGAAAGGTGTTTCCACAGAAAACTCCACGACCTTTCTCCAGTCCCCAAAGGTTACCATTAAAGGACAATAGACAGCAGATTCCCTTCTTAATTAACATTTTTATTAAATAACTCATTTCAAATAATGGTTAAATTCTCTAAATTTATATCATTCTATTAACCATAATCTAATCTCATTAACCTTGAAATCCCAGTCTTAACTACCCAATTCTATACACCATGGTACTATCTACTAAACTAATTAAGTGACCTTCAAACTATTTCTCCTCCATATAAAATCATTGGGTTTTTTTTTCTTTCTTTCTTTTTTTTTCTTCTCACAGTTCTTTGTTAGATCTGTCTTGAAATCATTTCCTGTAAATCTGGTTCCTGAAGTTCCCTGATCTGAGCAGAACTTAATCTTAACAAAATCAAACCATACATGATTATCTCGCTTGATTTAAACTGGTTGATTTTAAAGCCCTCCCCCACTTTCTGTCTGACAGCTCACTGCCTCCTTTTTGACCTAAACAGCTTGTGACTTAAAGGGAACTCCACGTCTATGGTGGTTACACAACCAGGAACATAGAGCTCTATGGTTGTAACCTCCACCTGACAGGGCCAGGTGGGGCTGGGCTGGGAGGACAGTGAACGACTAGAGCTCCCTCCCTGTCTCCAGGCTCCTCTGAAGAAGTACCCTTGACTTGAATGTCACTACCCTAAATACTGATTCTAGATAACTTTGGTCCTTCCCTTTTATATCCCAAAGGCTGGCTAAAGAAACAAGAACCTCACTGTTCATTTTGGCTTTGCTTTTTCTTCCTTTCAACACTCTGGCCAAGTGAAAAAAGATTATGGAGCTACGGATTCCCACTTCAGGTAAGCACACAAAACGTGTTTATTTTCTTTAGTCCTGCCTTTACAGCCCCCAACCTCAAGATGCTCTCTACTCTCTATATTTGTGTTCTAAAACACTGAGAGAGGCAGAGTTCTCTTGCTGAAGTGGTTTGCACAAACACAAGAAGGACCCATCCTCACCAAAATAACCTTCGGCCTCATGAAGACCATCTCATGCACAATCGACGTTAATGCCTTAGACAAAATTTGATTTTTTTTTTTTAAACTGAGAAGCTAAATAAAATGGTCAGAGTTTACCAATTCAAAAACATGCTGGGTTGTAGTATACTTGTTGGATCAGCCTAAATTAAGCTGAAAAAATGCAGTTAATTTGAAACCTAAAACATCTATAATCACATATGTGATTGTAATTTTATAGAAGAGACTCAGGAAAAACTATTAATGGTGGTTAGTTCTTTTGTTCAGCAGGATTAGGGGAGAGGAAAGAACTTTTCAGTTTTAAATTTTACATACTTTTATCTGATTAACAATGAGAATATATTACTTTTATAACCAGAGTCTAGGAAGGAAGGAAATAAGACTTAACACCTACTCCCTCCCTAAACCTAAACCTCACAGGGACCCACAGCAGAGCTCCGGCAACCATTTTGAGGATGTAGCTGAGGTAATCTCTGGCTATTTGAGAGCGCCCACTACACACACACATGTACGAGGAGCTTTGGAGGGTGCAGGTACGGAGGAGTCTGGGGAGGGGCAGCTTGGCTTGTGCTGACTGGTCTGTTCTCAGATCTAGAGGTCAAGCACAGAAGCGGGCCCTGGTTGGTAACAAAAAGAAAAAAAACAAAAACAAAAAAACCAAGCAGCAAACAGATGGAACAAGTGAGATAATTCTAGGATGTGATTATCAGCTCCAGCTAAAAGCAGTCAGGCAGTTTTAGGAGTGTCAAATGTCTTAGGAGAAAGGGAAGAGGCGTAGAAGGGAAATGGAAAGAGGCTGCAGGACAATGACCGAGAATCAAATCACAGGCTCGTACCTCAACACACCAAATTCAGAGAAAAGCAAACTGGTCATGCCATGAGAGACACAAGCCATCTGGCAATGAGGGGAGACACCATTTCTTTAGATGTTGTTAACCCCCCACAGCATCCAAGAGCAGTACTGTCCAGCTCTCACAGCATGGGATCATTTCCCTGGCAGGTCCACCAGATGTCTGAAATGAGGCATGTGGAGCATGCTGGGGCCTTCGGAATAAAGTCCTAGAGGTCTGACTCCAAGTGTCACCTGGTTTGAGGCTGCTTGGTAGGAGGCATCAGGGCCGAAACTGTTTATCATTTTTTGAGGATATAGCCTCTCAGGTGTCTGGGATACAACCGTTTTCTGCCCTAATATCAAATGAGGGGGAGCCTGCTCTCCCAATATACAGTTCCCCAGTATAAAACATGGGGCTTTCTGTCAGCAGAAGCCTCCCAGTGGGAAACCAACTTTAAGTAGCAGGAAACAGACACCAATGCTGAAGGCAGTGGAGACAGCGCAAAGAAAAACGAAAACACTTGTAGGATAATTTGTGTGCATAATTGTTGATTATGCACGTACTCCTTGGGAGTACATGTATTTAGTGTTCATAATATTAGACACAACACAAAACCCCAAACCCAATCATCAAAGAATCCTAGAGTTAGAAAGCATCTTCTAAGTCTTCTGTTCTGACCTCCTACCCAATGGGGTAGTGTGTTGCTTGTGTGGGGTGGTTTGAGTATGGCTTTACTAGAACAGTTAATGATGTCATATTGGTTGCTAAGCAGAAGAGAACCAAACTTCTCCATGCCCTCCACATCCTGGAATGGTTCATCTGACAATCAAAGTCTATTTGTTTCTTAACTTTTTCTATCTAGATCAGCCCAATCAAAGAGAGAGACTATGTTAGTTGGCTGTCGTGTTGCCAGGTGACCAAGTCTTCCGGTAATCTCACCTGAATGCCCTCTCCTGTGAGAGCTGAGCAAGACTGGATCTGCCAGACACGGTCGCGGATGGTGTGCAGGTTCAGTCCTTCTGCAATTTCAGAGGCAGGGGCTGCCGTGAGCAAATCCTGCTTATTAGCAAAGATGAGCACCGGCACACAACTTAGCTTTTCTTCCTCCAGTAATTCAGCTAGTTCCTGGATCATTTTAAGAATGGATGGGGAGGGAAGGTTGAAATCTATGATATTTAACCATTCACTTCTAATCAGAAAAAAACTAAAACAGTTAAGCTGATCAATTAGCAACGTTCAAGGGCAGTGGTTCTCAAACTTGAGCCTGTGGAAGGATCCACTGGCAGATTCCTGGGCCTACCCCAGAGATGCTGACTTTGGAAAGTCTGAGCCAGAGCCCAGAAATTTGCATTTTTAATGAGCTCCCCAGGTGGTTCTGCTATAGGGGATTCACAGATCATACTTTGAGAAACACTGTTCAAGGGAGAACACAAGTGTGGTTAGAGGTTTAAAACTTACCCAATGTTATGAGCTGCAAATAACTTTATATATATATATATATATATATATATATATATATATATAAATTGCTGTAGAGACTGTAATTCTGTTTCATTAGTCTTTATCTCCAAAACATGCATACATGTGCATTACACCTCATCAAACCCACATCCTAAAATAACTGTATTAGTCCATCTGGCAAGGTCTCTGATTTTTAGGTCATTGGTTGGGGTCTAAACTGTACGTTGATTCTATTATAAGCACAGGAAAGGGTGTATACTAACCTAAATACCCGGATCCACCTCTTCCTATTAAACACCCCCATTTTGCTACTTAAGACACTTGGTCTGTCAAAGAGAACTAGATGGTTTAAGAGACAGATCATCATATAACACCCTTCACTTCCAAGCTCATGTTTAACATTGGTTTACATGACTGATAATCCAGAAATCATCAAGGTATAGAATGGTTGTCTCCAAGAGTCTAGAGAGTTCTCAAACTAATTTCCAGGAAAAAGGATTGTAAATATGGGGATTGCTACCTTTGGAAGGCCACCTGTGGTAGTTTAGGACACACCCCAAGGACTCTGCAATGACATGTAATCATGCTTCTCCAAAGAGGTCAACTTTACTCCTTGATTCTTATCAGTGTACTCAGTTAAAAGTCTATGCCCACTGCTTCTCTATTTAAAATTGTGTACACAAATTGCATCGTGTAACCACATTGACTTGTACTCTGCATCTGAAGCCATATTTGGGTTCAAAGTATACCTAGCTCTTTGCTTGGAAACAAGAGCAGCGTAGTCTTGGCTTGCACATTTCTTCCCATCCCTTCAAATTTGTTAGTTACCTTTGGATCAATTAAGTTGATATTGAAAAATGTACATGGAAATGATATGTGAATTGTTCCTCTGGGTTCATTTCTATGTGGCCTCGGAAGAAACCTGAAGAGTTTTTGGGCATGGTGGTAAGTTCCATTTGTTATATCTTGTTTATTTATTTAATTTGATTAAAACTAAAAGGCTTTAATAAAAAATAAATGTGTTTAAAGGATTCTCAACTAATTTCTTTTTCAGCAACTGGTATTTTTGCCTGCTTGCCAGAATGACTGTCTTGTTTAAACTGCAAAGGTTAAACAAAAAATACCTCCCTCACTCTCATACATTTACAAAACAGATTAATGAATACCCAGTTATTTGGGAAATAGCTCAACAGAAGAATTATTTACCTGACCCGTCTCTTCAAATCTTTTTCTGTCTGCACTGTCAATTACATATATCTGTAAAGTAAAAGAAGAAGGTTATTTCAATAAGCAGATATAAAAAAAGACAGGGCAATTTCTATGGAAGGAGCTGATGATCTCCAGTCAGCTGATTTCACATTAGCACAGCATAGAGAAATTGAGCTGGTAAGCCTTACCATCTATAGATGCAGAACAAACAAACAAACAAACTAATTAATTAATTAATTAAATGGGGGATGCCCAGAAAATACTTCCAGCAAAGCTCCAAAGTAGAAAGTCAGGAGAGCCAGACAGGAAAAAAAAAACTATATTTATTGGGCATTCACTAAACATTCTTACTAGATTTACCATATTCATCCTCATTACGACTCTATGATATAGATTTCATTATTTTCCCATTTTATACATAAACACAAGCCCAAAGAAGTCAAGTAACTTGCCCAAGTTATGTTTGGTACTTGACAAAACTGGGATCCAAGTTCAGGCATACCTGGCACTTGCTCCTAAGCACTCTGCTAATACTATGTCTCACATTGTCTGGAAGGGATGGTGCTTTGAGGCATCTACAGATCCTATATTCCTCAAACATCATCACTCTGAAAGCACCGTTTGCAGTATTAACTATACTCTGACCTCAGGTACTGAGGCAGGAGATCCACTGATTTCCTTTCCATTCCTACCTCCACGGCTGCCAGGGGGTCAGGATAAAATACTGGGAATAGCAAGGGCATAGCCTTTGCCAGAGTAAGAAGTCTTGAGATTCACCACAAATTACAAATCCCAAGCTTTCTCTCTCATCACTAAATTTTATTTATTGCATAAATATTGGGTTGTTGGAAAAGTCATGACACATTTTTGCAACAAAAAACATAGAAAAAATACGTCATGACTTTTCCGACAGCCCAATATAATAACATCCTAAAACAACAATAAGGAAAATAGAGAGGGCCAATAAAAGAAAGAAAAATCACCTACAGTTACAGAACCCAAACATATTATTTTAATTTCCTATGAAAGTTCTCTTCTAATTCTTCTTCATATAAAGATTTGAAAATAAAATTAGAGATATAATTTTGTAGTCCTTTTTTTTATTGAACAATACATTAAATGTTTTTCCAGTTGCTAATCTTTTTTTAAAAAAATTTTTATTGGGGAATTGGGGAATGGGAACAGCACTGGGAAATTGGGGGGAGGGGAACAGACAAGTTGCTGTCCTTTTGTTTTTCAGTCTAGTTGTGGAGGATGTTGCTTCACTGGCCCAAGTTGGCACCATCATTGCGCTCTTCCCGGGCGAGGCAGGTCAGTCTCCGGCTTCTGGACGGCCGCTCACGGTGGCTGCTGGCTACACACGGTAGCCCATGGCAACCCACTGCCACAGGGGCTGCAGCCTACGCCGTCACATGTGACTCATGGCAGCCCAGCTCCAGGTTGAGCTGTTGTTCAGCATCTTAGCTGTGGAGGGCAGTGTCACTAGCCCTCATATGTGGGATCCGAACTGGGGTCCTCTGGCATCCCAAGCCAGCTCTTAACCACCGCGCCACTCGGCCGCCCGAGGCTCACATTTTTAAAGTAGCAGGCATAGTGTAAACATAGATGTAAAAAGAAGGAATGTAATGGGAGGGTGAACCTCAATATAAAACACCTAATGAGAATTATTTGGGAGTGTGCAGTGGATTAATAGTATCTTCACTCAAGCATTAGTCCAAGAAGATGTGAGGGAGGGAAGGGGGTTAGGTGGTCACTGGGAGAGTCTCAGTTTTGGTCTCAGAGGGGCTTCCTGAAGGCTGTGTGCAGGTCACTGGGCAAAAAATTATTACAAAGCAGGAAAAAATGTGCTTGGGAGCAAAGGCTATGAGTAACAAGGTGAGGGTGGGAAAGAGGAGAATAAGACAAAGGTAAGAACACAAAGCTACAGTTAAGAAATCGGTGTTTGATATGATTAAAAAAACAGTCAGTAGAGGATAATGAGGAATGGAAAGATAGCTTTATCATCACACGAGAGATGATACCAGAGAGTCCAGAGGCTAAAGATAAATGAGAAGAAAGTTGTAACTTTTACTTATAATTACTTGCCAAATGACTTGCTATTTACTACTTGGACATGAAATTTCACAGGAAATATTTCCATTAAAAGATCCAAAAGGGGCCGGCTGAGTGGTGCGTTGGTTAAGAGCTGGCTTGGGATGCCAGAGGGCCCCGGTTCGGATCCCTCATATGAGGGCCAGTGATACTGCCCTCTACAGCTAAGATGCTGAACAACAGCTCAACCTGGAGCTGCCATAAGTCGCTGGCAATGGCATAGGCTGCAGCCACTGCTGCAGTGGGTTGCCATGGGCTACCGTGTGTAGCCAACAGCCAGCATGAGCGGCCATCCGAAAGCCAGCGACTGATCTGTCTCGCCCTGGAAGAGTGCAATGATGGTGTCAACTTGGGCCAGTGAAGCAACGTCCTCCACAAGTAGACTGAAGAACAAAAGGACAGCAACGTGTCTGGTCCCCTTCCCCCAATCCCCCAGCGCTGTTCCCATTCCCCAATAAAAATCTTAAAAAAAAAAAAAATTCAAAAGGAGGATTTTCCTAAACTATACATATATACTACCTACCATTTAGCATTTTTCTCACTTAATTTTCATAAAATCTGACAGTTCCTACACAATAATTCTGGGGAAAAGGCTATAAAATAACCGCCCCATTTATTAAGGGCCAAGGGAAAAAGTCATAAGCACAAGCTAGTCTGGAAGTCTGCAAATTCATTTTTCTGCAGGGGTATATTCTTCTCTTGGTTGCTCCCATCCCAGTGCTACCCAGTTTCTTCATGCAAGTGTCTGTTTTTTTCTGGTCAATAGCTAAAGCTAAGGATAGTCTCTTGTCTCTCTCTCTTGCTCTCTTTTTTATTTTTTAATAACAGCTGTTAATCTAGTAATGTAAAATTTTTTAAATCCAAAAATAAACTAATAATCAGTAAAAAAAGAATACTCAGAAAGTATCAGAGCCAGTTAAACATTTATAGTGCTTCATGACTGATCTTAAAACATTCTGGACTTTCAAAAATCAAATTTCATAAACCTATTCTAAAATAAAGTTATCCATGGCGCTCAGAATGATGCTTTAAGAAAAGCCACTGCACATTTTCCTTGTCAGTTGCTCTGAAATTATTTGGTTGTGGGAGCAAAACCTAGAGAAAGAGATTTTTCGTGATGGGACTTCAGCCCACTCTGGATTATTCAGAGACTGACTACCCAGCGTGTGAATGGAGGGTTCTTTGTTTCTCTTCTTGCTTCTGGTCCTCCTCCCGCCTGCTGCCACCTTTTGGCCATTTTATTGTTCCTAAGTATTTCTCCATCAGACGGGTAGGCAGAGACAAGAAGACAGGACACTAAAAAGTGTGGCTTTTTATTGCTAGCTTGAGCAAAAGTCTAAAAGGAGGCTGAAACCAACAAATAAGGTTTCTGGACACCTTGTGGTTTTCAGCTATTTGTGCTCTAGGAGTATTGATGTTCAAGAGGGAATGACACGTGGAAATAACACATGAGACAGTTGTCTGAGAGCTATCCTCACTTGATGTTCTACACTTTGGATATGGCAATGATGACAGTTACTTTGTTCAAATTATGTTGCATTAAAACACTAAAAAAATAATAAAACAGAGTTTAGTGATAATATGACTATACCTTGAAAAAAAATGATGTATTTTTATCTACCAAAAGTCTGTTATTCCCTGGCTTACCAGAAATGAAAGACACCCTACCCCCTCCTTTCTATCATACCTCAGGTTTTACTTCTTAGTCACGTCCCCTAAATTAATAAAGCTGTATAGTCAGATCTTCTCAGTGTCATCTTCCCTGAGGATAACTTTGGCACTTTTAGGAGTTGCTGTGGCTCTTTCAAACCTAGAGAACCACTGAATGCTGTAAAGTGGGGGTCAGCAATTTCTTTCCTTTCTTTCTCCCTCTCTCCCTCCCTCCCTCCCTTCCTTTGAGCAATCTTTTTTTGTAAGGGCTTTGTGGCCCATACAATCGTTTTCACAACCATTGAAAATACATAAACAAGTGGACGTGGACACTTTTTGAATTTTAAAATTTGAATTTCATGTCATTTTCATGTGATGAAATCTTATTCTTCTTTTGATTTTTTCCCCCCAACCATTTAAAAATATAAAAAACCATTCTTAGCTCACAGGCTATACAATAACAGGAGGCAGGCCGGCTGGATCAGTTTGCCGACACCTGCTCTACAGCAAGAATTCATAACGGCACTCTAGAGATAACTGAAGAGAGTTGGCTGGGCAACTAAATGCGTCAAGCCTCCCATGCTGCTCTTCTAGGCAGTGCGGAGTCTAGTGCACTAGGTCTTTTCAACCAACAATGGAAAACTACTCAATACAGACCAACAAAACCAATTAATGTAACCCATTTAACCACTCTGAGCTGCTACAAAACTGGCAGACAGGGCTAAGAGTCCCAAGGCCTTAGAATCTAACACTGGGGACTTGGTTGCTCCCTAAGACTTGTTTGAGCTCAAAATGGCACTGGAAAATAATCAAAGGTTGACTCTGAATCCCAAATATTGTCTGGTACTGGCAGTGTACTGTAGTTGGAGAAAGTTCCTATAGGGTTGCTCTAAGCTGATTTTTGTTGGATTGTATGATAATTCCTGGGCACTCACAGCTAATAAGAAATGTGGAATCCAGGGTCATATTACAATTACCCTGTAATCTACCCTCAAGGCGTTGGAGCTTATGATTTAAAAATACCCGGTAGACCAGAAAGTTTCTGAGATTTCCTTATGGAATGGAACCTATATACTGCTCTTCTTTGGGTATTTCTTTCAAAGTACCTTAATCCAGCAGATGAACAGATAGAACTGCTATTTCAACTACCTGCTTTTTCCCCACTCCTGACTCAAAAATCAAAAGAGAATCTGAAGCTTCCTCCTCCCTCAGTTTTATTGAAATATAATTGGCAACAACACTGTATAAGTTTACGGGATAAGCATAATGATTTAACTTGAATCTATTGCTTTTAAATAATTAATTCA